TGGCTGGCAGGGGCTGCAGGGTGGGAGAGAGGGGCGCTTGCAGGGCTGCAGGGAGCGCAGGGCTGGGCTGTGGGTCCAGAGTGTGGGGAACCAGCAAAGCTGAGTCGAGCCCCACCCCTTGTTCACACCCGCAGGCAGCGCTGGGACCCCTGTCATGTTCAATGAGAACGGAGATGCCCCAGGGCGCTACGACATCTTCCAATATCAGCTCACGAACACCACAGTCCCCGGGTACAAAGCCATTGGGCAGTGGACAGAATATCTGCGCCTGAACGTGAGTGTGCGGGACCCACTGGCTCCATGTCAGCCCTGAGCAGTGTGGTGTGTGGCTGTACCCCAGCCCCCGCCACGGGGGCTCCACGTCAGCCCTGGCCAGCGTGGTGTGTGGCTATGCCCCCACTCTCACCCCTACCGGCTGCATCTCAACAGCAAGGGAGCTATCCCTGGGCACTGTTATATGCTGCTGTTCCCAGCTGACTCACTCCAGAACTGGCTGCATCTCATCCCTGGCAGCATTGTGTGTGGCTGTTCCCCAGCAGCTGGGCCCCTGAGGTGGCTGCCTCAGCCCCGGGCAAAGCAACCCAGGGGCACTATGCAAGTCTGTTCTCTGGCCACCCCTCTCCCTTGGCAGATGGAGGAGATGCAGTGGTCTGGGGGCCAGCAGGAGATCCCCTCATCCGTCTGTAGCCTGCCCTGCAGCCCAGGCGAACGGAAGAAGATGGTGAAGGGTGTGGCCTGCTGCTGGCACTGCGAGCTCTGCGACGGCTACCAGTACCAGCTGGACGAGTTCCACTGCAAGATGTGCCGCTTCAACGAGCGCCCCAACGAGAACCACACGGGCTGCGTGCCCATCCCCATCGTCAAGTGGCCATCTGTGGCATCCTAGGCACCACATTCGTGGTGGTCACCTTCGTGCGCCACAACAACACGCCCATCGTCCGGGCCTCGGGGCGGGAGCTGAGCTACGTGCTGCTGACAGGCATCTTCCTGATCTACTCCATCACCTTCCTCATGATCGCCGAGCCGGGCATGCTGGTGTGCGCTGCCCGGCGCCTCTTCCTGGGGCTGGGCATGGCCCTCAGCTACTCGGCCCTGCTCACCAAGACCAACCGCATCTACCGCATCTTCGAGCAGGGCAAGAAGTCGGTGACGCCACCCCGGTTCATCAGTCCCACCTCCCAACTGGCCATCACCTTCAGCCTGAGCTCGGTGCAGCTGGTGGGGACGCTGGCCTGGCTGGGGGCCCTCCCGCCCCACAGTGTCATCGACTACGAGGAGCAGCGGGTCCCCAACCCCGAGGCAGCCCGGGGGGTGCTCAAGTGTGACATGTCCGACCTGTCACTCATCTGCTGCTTGGGCTACAGCCTGCTGCTCATGGTCACCTGCACTGTCTACGCCATCAAGGCCCGGGGCGTGCCTGAGACCTTCAACGAAGCCAAGCCCATTGGCTTCACCATGTACACCACCTGCATCGTCTGGCTGGCCTTCGTGCCCATCTTCTTCGGCACTGCCCAGTCCGCAGAGAAGGTCAGGGGGCTGGAGTCTGGGAGCGGGGCAGCCTAGGGGCTGGAATCGGAGAGAGGACCCCAGAGGCTGGGAGGAAAGGGGTGAGGGACTCAGGGATTGGAGTTTGAGGGGGGAGCCAGGCTGATGAGGGTGCGAAGAGCCCATGGGTTTGAGTTGTGGGGGGAGGGAGCAGGGAGCCCACAGGTTAGGTTTTGAGGAGAGACAAGGGCCAAGCCTGAAGGGAAATTGGAAGGGATCGAGAGACAGAACCCAGGAGTCCTGCTCCCAACCCCCCTGCTCTAAACCACCAGACCCCACTACCCTCCTCTCCAGCCCAGGCATAGAACCCGGGGTTCTGGCTCCTAGTGCCCACTGCTGGAAGGGTCAAGTCTTGCACCAGCCACCCTGAGGCTACATCTATACTGCAGCCTTCTTCCGCAAAAGCTTATGCAAATGAAGCACGGAGTAGAACATTGCCACGCTTCATTTGCGTAATTAATTAGCAGCCATTTTTGTGCAAAAAGGAGCTGTGTAGATGGCTCCTTTTTGCACAAAAACGCCCTCTTGTGCAAGAGCCTTTCTTCTTGAAAAAATGAGGGAGAACGGCTCTTGCACAAGAAGGGGGGTTTGCGCTAAAAGGAGCCATCTATTCAGCTCTTTTTTGTGCAAAAATGGCTAATTAATTATGCAAATGAAGCACAGCAATATCCTACTCTGCACTTCATTTGCATGCTTTAAGGAAGTCTGCAGTATAGACATAGCCAGAGTGTCCTATCCTCCCTCCCCCCCACAGATCTACATCCAGACAACGACACTGACGGTGTCCATGAGCCTCAGTGCCTCAGTTTCCCTGGGAATGCTCTACGTGCCCAAGGTCTACGTCATCATCTTCCATCCCGAACAGAACGTGGCCAAGCGCAAGCGCAGCTTCAAAGCGCCTCTCGCAGAAGGGCAGCGAGCGCCAGAATGGGGCTGACACTGCCCAGACGGGCAAATAGCCGGTACGTGGGTATTGCTTCCTCAGCTCCCACTCTGGCCTGTGTAGCCAAAGCCAAGGAGAGAACCCAGTAGCCCTGGCTCCTACCTCTCCCCCTCGGCTCTAACCACTAGACCACCCTCTTGTGCACTGTGGCTGTGTCTCCCAGAAGGGTGGTCAGTTGTGCCACTTGTACAGCATATGCAGCTGGACTCAGACTGGAGCATGCGGAGCCCGCAGCCCCAGATTGCCCTCAGTGCAACTCAGGCCCAGCACGTGAGAGGGGGCAAGCTGGGACCCCCAGCCCTTGCCCATTGTGGGACCAGGGCTCAGATGAGCACGAGTGTACCAAGTGTGCAAAGGTGGATGGTACCATAGGCCCAAAAGTGGACTGCAACTTAATGCTTAGAGGGGGATGGGAACAGGGTCATTGCTCGTTCAGGGCACGGCTACACAGGAGGGCAAAAGTCAAATTAGGTGACGCCACTTCAGCTATGTCAATTGTGTAGCTGAAGTCAAAATAGCTTAATTGGGCTTTTGGCACTGTCTCCGCAGCAGGAAGTCAAAGGGAGAGCACACTGCCTCTGACTTCCCTTACTGAGGGTTACAGAAGTCGGTGTAAGAAGTCCTCCATCTCAACGTTATTTCACAATTATGGCTTGCTGTGTAGACACCCACTTAGTTATTTCGAAATGCTGCTGCTACGTGGACGTGCCCACAGTGGCCCTGACTGGCTCTAGTGTCCCAGCGTGACTAACACTCTCCTTCATCATTGCCAGGGTGCCTGTGCTGAGGAACGTGGGTAACTCAGAACCAGCCCCAGACCAACATAACCCAAGGGGGGGAAGGAATGAAGAGTCAAAAGTGGATGGGGGGGGGGGGGAGAAAGGGGGGGGAAGAGGGGGAG